GGGTTCGTTGGATCGAACGAAGGCTGTGCTTCGGCACTTGCCACACAACATTTCTCAGTCAGCGCTCATGGAGCAAATTGATGCCCGTTTTTCCGGTCGTTACAACTGGTTCTGTTTCCGTTCCGGGAAGAACAGGTTAGGGTTTTACGTGCTTTTTCTTTGAGCTTCAGCTTAGTGCTACTTCCTTGAAGTTAAATTTTAAGTGATTTTGGGGTTTGGGTTATTATTTACTCATAGATTTTGAAAGAAAAAAGTAAGTTATAGGCGTTTAGAGTTTGGTTTTTGGACCATGTAGATTCTTTTCGTTCGAATTGCTTGCCTTTCACGCTTTATAAACCTTGGAGGTTTCAGGGTATTTTGGTTTTTAGCTGAGATTAGAATTGAAGTAAGACAACGTTTTGTAGCTGTCAGAAGGAATCCAAAGAAGCTTATGTAGAGAACTAGAGACATGCTAGACAATAGTCAGAAAGAATGGTAGATGGAGTATTAAGCACAGTTGACAAACATTAAGCAAGGTGGCTTGTTAGTTTGTGAAGAAAGAACTCATCATTCTGTTCGTTTATATGTGTTTTGCTTCCTGTTTATTATTTGCTACTATTTGGGCATTTGACTGGCCTTGGACTGGTGGTGAAAAATGGATTCATAGTACTTAACTGTGAAATTAGTGTCTGTTATTTATCTTGGTGTTCATTTTTAGTAAAATGATGTCTCAGTAAAGACATAGTTAAAAATCGATCCTTAGATCTTAAAGTGATTTCACTTGTAATCAAACTTATCATAATTGTTTATGGAACTTGATTGGAACTGATGTTTAGAGACTCTATCTAAAAATGTAGAAAAAGTGGTAAATTTGGTGCTTACATATATTGAAAATCAAATCGCCCCTTTTTGACATACTTGTAGTTGTTGTAACAATTTCCATTGAATGTGTTTTCAGTCTGAAGTGTCAATCCTATTCCAGAGCCTACATTGACTTTAAGCATCCAGATGATGTCATTGAGTTTGCAGAGTTCTTTGATGGACACGTGTTTGTTAATGAAAAGGGTAATACTGAAACTCTACATTTAGGCAATTCTAGGGTTTCAAATTGGATTCCCAAATTGAAAATTAGGGATTTTTTTTTTTTTTTTCCATTTTTCAGGCACCCAATTCAAAACTATTGTTGAGTATGCACCTTCACAACGCGTTCCAAAACAATGGTCTAAGAAAGATGGACGTGAAGGCACCATAGACAAAGGTATTGTTAAGATGATTCCCCACTTACCCTTTTCTATTTTTTATAATTATAAATTTATAATTAACTTTTTAATGAACAATATAGATCCTGAATATCTTGAATTCCTCGAGTTAATTTCAAAGCCTGTTGAGAATCTTCCTAGTGCAGAGATACAATTGGAAAGAAAGGAAGCCGAACGAGCTGGTTAGTATTAAATCTGTTAATAATAATAATTAATAATAATAATAATAAGATTTAAATTAACATTTAATTTGAGTTAAAACTTTGATTTTGAAGGTAATGCTAAGGAGGCGCCTATAGTTACTCCTTTAATGGATTTTATTCGCCAAAAAAGAGCAGCCAAGGGTGGATCTCGGGTAGGAATTTTACACTTATACCCCTTCAGAATAAAATATATATTCTCAACTTATATTTTAATAATTCCAGAGGTCATTGCCTAATGGGAAGTTAATGAGAAGGGGTAGTGGTGCATCATCATCATCTTCAACATCAAATTCTCCTGCATTAAAACGTGGTTCTGAAAGAAGAAGGACTTCAACCACCATGGTATCTGAATCTTTTTACATAATAAAGATTAAAAAGCTAACATCTTTCAATGGGTATTAATGTCTTTTTGTTATTAAAACAGTATGTCCCAAGGGATACGGGGAAGGGTAGAAGTGGTAAAGAAAAGTCAACATATGTTCAGGTCCATAAACCTAATGATCAACAGCCTGTTTCTGGAAGTGTTGTACTGGAGGAAGGACGAGGTATATATATATATATATAATATATATATATATATATATATATATATATATATATATATATTATTACTCATCACTCTTTTTTTCTTCCAAAATTAATTTGTTAACATATTTATAAATTTGTGAAGGTTCTTCTGGAACTCCTGATATTGGGAAAAAGAAAATTCTGCTGCTGAAGGGAAAAGAAAAGGAAATACCCCTTGTAAGTTTTGACTCTTTTATTAATTAAAAAAAAAAGAATAGTAATAAGTAGTTAACTAATAATTACCATTTTCAGATAAGCAGTGGTTTGTCATCTGTGAAAATATCCCATGGGTCTGGTGCTCCAAAACAAAGGGAGGGTCAGGGTAGTAGTGGAAGGGTGATTAGAAGCATACTTATTAACAAAGATTCACAACAAAATTTAAATCGGGAAATTGACAGAAAACCCCCTAGACCTCCTCCACCATATAACAGTTTGCAAGATGACATGGAGAAACGTAGTACTAGGAACAAGGATAGACCTGAGCGTGGTGTGTGGACCCCACTTAGGCATTCTGATGATGAATCTCTTTCATCTTCACTTTCTCAATCCAAACCAGATTCTTCAGAAGGTATGATGGACTTTGGAATGGAATGCTTCATTCCATTCCATCCAACCAAAAAGACTCCTAATGTTATTTATATTTATATATTTGGCTTTTACCATATAATTGTGCTGAAAATAGACATGGTTTCATAGGAACTCATGGAGAGGGAAAGTATGACATGAGGGGTGGAAGTGGACGTGGTGGTCATTTCTCACCTGATAATGGTTAGTTTTTTTTTTTTTTTTTTTTTTTTGAAAATTTAAAATGCTAATACATTTTATGATACACACGTGTGAATAGTATAAATGCAATGGAATCAGGAATGGAATGAAAAAAACCCCTGTTTGTTGATTTTCACTTCTTCATTAGGACGTGTTTTTGTTCCATTCCATCATGTATTTTTATTATTGAAACCGTTTTTTTTTTCCCAAAAAAATATTATTTGTTATAATAATATATTTGGGATTTGGTGAGTTTTTACTATGTTTAATCTTTTTGTTTTGGTTAGTTATAATGTATAGATTCAAGTGAATATAATTCTATTTCTATATTCAAACCAAACATGATCATGGATTGTAATGGCTGATTCCATTCCTTTATATATGATATGATATATGACCTTAATTAATTTATGAATTATGACAAGGAAATGAGAAAGAAATTACTTTATGTAGATAAATATGCAGGCTCCCATAAACATGGTGGAAGGCGTGGGCCATCATCATATAACAACACTAAGGATGCAGATGGTTCAAAAAAAGGAGTTTCTAGTGGCTATGCTTCTCATGAGGTATAAAATTAATTTCTAGATTATCATTTTTAATTTATTAATATTAATACTAATATTAATATTAATATTAATATGTGATGTGAATATGCAGAAACAGGTCTGGGTTCAGAAGTCAAGCTCTGGTTCTTAGTCTTGTTAGTAAGGTAACATTTTCTCTCATTCTTTTTATTATTATTTTTTATAATATTTGATGCAAATGCAATGTTTGACTTTGGTAGTCTTAAGTTAGGTCCAAAAAATAATATTAGTCACTGTTTATCTTGTAAACTTCTCCAACCCAGTTTTATTTATTTATTGCAGTTGAGTTCAGAGATTGGATTTTTTACAGTATTGGGAGTTGGGAGCATAAACGTGATTGATTGCATCCAAGAAAGTTTTGTTTTGCTAGGAAGCAAAAAAAGATGGTTAAGCAAAGAAGGCTTTTTTTCTGTGGGACCCTGTGAACGGGTGAGATTACGATTCTACCCCCCCTACTTACAAGTTACAAACGGAAACATGAAAAAGGAAAAAGGAAAAAGGAAAGCGGAACAGGATGTGTTTTTTTGTTGAACAAAAAACAAAAAAAAAGGTGAGTGAGTGAGTGGGGATTCTTATGATTATGGTTATGATTATCCTAAAATATAAGAGATGTTGGGTTGGGTGGTTTACCTTTAATATAAATATAAAATAGGTGAAATGAAATTGAAGGCTGATTGTTTGTAAATACTAACCTCAAAATGGTGGGTGTGTTATGTTATGTTATGTTATATGTTGCACTTGCAAATAGAGAGATGGTGATGGGGAGATATGAGCATGATTTTATTATGGTGTTCCTGTAACTCTGGTTTGTGATTAGGCCATGATGCCAACAAGCCTTTGTGGTTTGGGTTTGGTTTTGGTTTTGTTTCATCAAAGGAAATGATTGTGTTGTGTTTTATCTTTATTTGATAATCATGATTTGGTAATCTAAATGTGTTTGTATAGTACTTTGCTTATGCTATAATTCTATTACATCATTAGGGGCTTTTTCTTGTTCACATTGTAATCTTAATGGTTCCATTAAGAGATTAGGCTGGCTTTAAATCGGTTAGATGTGGTGTATTGGTAATAATAAAGACTAATGGGTTCTTCATCATCCACAACTTCAACACATGTAAAATAAGTCATTTTTTTGTAATATAATTTATGTTTGTGCTTTATACAAGTATAATGCAACATTTAGAGCATACATAATATGAGTTTTGGATGAAATAAGTTTGTAAAAGTAAAAAAAAAAAATTGCTATGCGGGATTTTTCGTCTCAAAACGTTTTTAATTTGCTTATAAATTTGTTATATATATATATATATATATATATATATATATATATATATATATATATATATATGAACGACAGCGGACACTAACATCTGATAGGACAGTATGCTATAACGCCCTCCGAAGAGATAACAACATCCTTAGCAACCCAGTTTCCTGTTAAGGGGCTTCACTGTTTTGGACACCATAATACTCATACTTTTTATAATTATAATAGTATTTAATTTATTTAGTAGGATCCATAAATAAATGTATGAAAAACTTTATTTTTTGTTTTTCTAAAGTGAAACAAAAAAGTAAACCTTACTGAAACTTGAAAGTTGAGTGGCTACAGGAGTAGACTGTAGTGAGTGCTTCGTGTCCTTTTTCAAACTACAAAAATCACCCACAATGGATTGAAAATGAGCTTCATCAATTCAATAATCTCCAAGACCCTTTTCATCTTCATCTCTGTGCTAATCTTTTCTTCCTGTTAATGGCGGCTTTGACAGCTACTTTAGGAACCATCTACAACAAACCATCTCCTTCTTTCAACACACCCAAATTCGTATACAACACCAAACACCGTAGTTCAACCATTTTCGCGCGAACATCTTCCAATGTTACTGATGAGGCGGCTTCATCTTCCTCCTCTTCTACAATTACACAACCGAAACCCTTCCCAGGTCCGACTGAATTAACATTCTACATTTCTAATTTCTATTTGGGGGCAATCTTTCTGTTCGTTACAGTACATGAATCCTTAATTTTAACGAGTGGTTTTACCAAATTGAGTAATTTACCTTCCGCCATAGCTACTGGTATGCACCAGATGTAAAAACAATCAGAAATCATATGATATGATTATGATCTACGCAGGGAAGCCAGAAGCAGATGTTGTTGTTATAGGGAGTGGTCTTGGTGGACTATGCTGTGCAGGACTTCTAGCTAGATACGGGAAAGATGTTATAGTTCTTGAAAGCCATGATCTACCAGGTGGTGCTGCACATTCGTTTGAAATTAAAGATTACAAATTCGATTCTGGGCCTTCTCTGTTTTCCGGATTTCAATCTAGAGGTCTCCAGGCGAATCCTCTTGCACAAGTATTTGTTATATCTTTCATACTTTTCATACCATTCTCCAAAACCACCAAACATGCACAAATCTTCCTTATGCAACAAATGATACTACTCATGATTCATGATATGATATGTATTTGTAGCTATGTTTGTTTTTTTTTTAAGCTGTTGATGGTTTTACAGGTTTTGGATGCTTTGGGAGAGTCCATTCCCTGTGTCAAATATGACTCATGGATGGTTTATGTACCCGAAGGAGAATTTCTATCACGCATTGGTCCTACAGAATTTTTCAAGGTAAACTAGTATTTGTTCATGTTGTTGTAGCACTGTAATTTTCACACAACAAAAAGACTTCAGATAATCCAAAACTAACTTTAGTATCTTTACAATTATGAATTATGTTACTCAAGTGTACTATGAATAGTGGGAAACATGTTCTTATTCAAGATTTCTTTTTTGGAATCCATTTCAGGACTTAGAGACGTATGCTGGTCCAAATGCTGTTTTGGAATGGAGAAAGCTTCTTGTGAGTGACATTCACTTTCTTTTCTTTATACATTCAAAGCACAACGTATCAATTTAGTCTCTTAGATAGTTTTTGAAGGGATTAAACCATTATACTTTGCCTGAGTGGTTAAAAAAGGACTAATCACAAAAATAACCAAAAATGGAAAGGTAATACAAATACTTCCTTTTAAACAGGATGCAATACTTCCATTATCTGCAGCTGCCATGGCTTTGCCACCTCTATCTATTCGAGGTGATTTGGGAGTTGTTTCTACTGCTGGAGTTAGATATGCATATCCACTCCTAAAATCATTTGCAAAAATGGGACCTCAAGGTGTTCTTGGTGCCACAAAGCTTTTACGCCCTTTTTCGGAAATTGTTGATTCATTGGGACTCAAAGATCCTTTCATTAGGAATTGGGTGGATCTTTTGTCTTTCTTACTTGCTGGAGTGAAATCCGATGGTGTTCTTTCAGCAGAAATGGTACATAATCATATCATACATTAACAAGTTTGTTAAGGTAGTTTTTGGTATGATGGAATTGAGGAAGGAATGGAATGGGCTATTCCATTACCACATGTCCTCATCCATTCCATTCCAACCAAACAGAATCCATTCTATTCTTTTTAGTTTTCTAAATGTCTAATCTTTTACCTGTATATATATCCACATATTTGCAGATTTACATGTTTGCAGAATGGTATAAACCAGGTTGTAGTTTAGAATACCCTGTTGGTGGAACTGGAGCACTTGTTGAGGCTCTTGTTAGAGGATTACAAAAATTTGGTGGAAGAATCTCTCTAAGAAGCCATGTGGAGAATATAGTCATTGAAAATGGTCGAGCTATAGGTGTCAAGCTAAGAAGTGGTCAAGTGAGTCAAAGGGACTCATACTTTATCCATATGAATTAAGTTAATTTGTTTACTTATAATAAATTATTTTTGCATTTTTTTTTTAGTTTGTGCGTGCAAAGAAGGCTGTTGTAAGCAATGCATCCATGTGGGACACCATAAAGTTACTACCTAAAGAAGCAGTTCCAAAATCATATGAAGAAAGGATTCAAAATACAAAGCAATGTGAGTCGTTTATGCATCTTCATTTGGGATTTGATGCAGAGGTGAGCATTTAAAATATGGGCAATTCCAATTTATGTTTAATTCTTTCTAGGATTATATGCAATAAATAGCAATGCACTTTTACACATGCTTGCATTTCTTCCTATTATGACATTCTACTTTGAAATTTCTATCCAATTATAGCAACATCAATACAACAAGTTTTAGATTTTTCAAAGTATAATGTCCTAATAAGAAAAAGTCGGAATTGCAATGGTGTAGTTAGGTAGATTTTTTATAGTATAATACCTTAAGAAGAAATAGAATGAAAGTACAATGTTGTAGTAGAAAGAAATGAATGTAGTATGCTATAATACACGAGTATATGAAAGTACATTGCTATTTCTTTCATTTAGTCCTTTTTTTATATCTAAAAGTGTTTATTTACATAATTATTAGGGAATACGGGATGATTTAGGAATTCATCATATAGTTGTGAATGATTGGAATCGTGGAGTTGATGCGGATCAAAATGTGGTGTTGATATCTGTGCCAAGTGTACTAAGTCCGGATTTAGCCCCTCAAGGAAAGCATGTTTTACATGCCTACACCCCGGGAACCGAACCATTTCAACTTTGGGAAGGTCTTGACCGTAGAAGCAACGAATACAAGCAACTTAAAGCCGAGCGATCCGAGGTGGAATCACTGATTCCGGCTCTATTATCATAAAATGATAAGCGGATGAATGGAATCTGTCTAAGGAATTGGAATTTGTCACGCGTTTGGTTGGCAGGAAATGGAATAGAATTCAATAACAAAAATGGAATAATCTAGTAATTTTTCACTATTTCAATATGTTTCATGAGGGTATTTTGGTCTTTTGAATAAAAAATGAAGAATGGAATATAATTTTATTCATGAGCCACTAGAAATGGTAAAATACATCAAACGTGAAATTCAAAGGAATCTGAAGAAATGGAATTCCGTCCATTTGGCAACCAAACACACCATGGAATGGAATCGCAAAATTCAATTCCGTTAGATTCCATTGGTATCCGCAAACCAAACACTCCCCTTAGGGTGTGTTTGGTATACGGAATCCCTAGAAGTGGAATTCGAGATTCCGTTCCATGTTGTGTTTGGTTGCCAAATGGACGAAATTCAATTTCTTCAGATTCTTTTGAATTCCATGTTTGATGGATTTCATCATTCCTAGGGGTGGATCGAAAGAAATAATATTTCATTCCTTCTCTTATCTGTTAAAAGACCAAAATACCCCCATATAAACCAAGCAAATAAATGTAATCGAATTCCATCCCATTTCCTGCCAACCAAATGCGTGACAGATTACAATTCCTTTGGTAGATTTCATCCATTTCAAAGACATTTAACAATATTATTGAGGTTTAAGTGAAATATATTAAAAGGGCAATATTGGAATTTTGATGGCAGGTAATGTGGAAAGCTGTGGAACGGTCACTTGGTCCAGGTTTTAGTAGGGATAAATGTGAGGTGAAGTTAGTTGGAACTCCATTAACACACCAAAGATTTCTTAGAAGGAACAGAGGAACATATGGGCCAGCAATAGAAGCTGGGAAAGAGTCTTTCCCTGGACACCCGACTCCGATTCCGCAGCTTTATTGCTGCGGGGATTCCACATTCCCTGGAATCGGAGTCCCTGCTGTTGCTGCTAGTGGTGCCATTGTTGCTAATTCACTAGTTTCTGTTTCTCAACACTCCCAACTTCTTGATGCTGTAGGGATATAGTAGGACTAAGGTGAGTTATCTCACTTGGGATTCTTCTTGAATGGAATTGGAATTGGAGATTCCACTCCATGGCGGAATTGGAATTTGAAATTCCATTCCGTGTCATGTATGGAGTTTGACATTTATAGCGAACAAAATGTATATCAAATTCTGTATAGAATCAAATACTGTCACTATTGAATTTTATCCTTCTTTTGGTGTAGTGTTATGTGAAGAAATTCAGAATAAATTGAATAAATTTTAGACTTTCAAGTAGAATAGATAGTATTTAAATACAAATTTACAAATATGATCTCAAGTTCTCAATGTCCAAATATTATCTCAACTAGTTGAAAATAAACGTAACATTTTTTGTAGAATATTTCAAAGGCTTTTCATGGTAATATACTAATATTATCTATGCATTAGTATTAATCATGAAAATTATAACATTAACTATGGGGTCTATTATATGGTTGTTTCATATGTATACACGAAGGAAACACATTAATACCTGATAAATAAATACAGTTTTATCAACTATATATTATATGAAACATAAGATATCTTAAACATAAACGGTATCCCAGAAAAATAATAGCCAAAACTTGTGTTTTTAGGGCAAGATATGCGCATATATTTTTTATAATTTTGTGGCCATTATATATTAGTTTTGTTAGTTTATTTTGTTAATAAAAGTATCTAAAATGTACAAAAATTGTCAAACTTGAGTTTTACTGACCGGTTAAACCACAAAATATCCAAATTGATTTTACGTTTTCCCCCTTGTTTTTACTTCTATTTTGTAAGTATCGTGTTTGAATTTTGTGAAACATTTCTAATAAGTACTTTCAAAATTAACAAGATAAATGTTATAAGTTATAATAAAGAAAAGATTTATTTATCTAAAATATGATTTGGCTTTCGCTATTATGATATTTTTACTAATCATAGTTTTATTACATAAGTCATTAATCATTGATTTAAAAAAAGGGGCAATTACTAATCTAGCCAAATTAAGGAAGTGATTAACAATTTTTTGCCAAAAATTAGTAAATGTCCAAATATAGCCCATGAAACCGTAGGTTTCTATATTCGTCTAGTGTTTCGCAAATTCGTCTACTGTTTCGTGTTTTGTATAATTTTTTTTTTCATTTCTAAGATACAAAACCGTAGGTTTTTTAAAACCTACGGTTTCCTCTCGTTTTAGCTACGGTTTCCCAAACCGTAACCTACGGTTTTGGGTATTCCGTTTTTTTATTTTTATTATTTTTATTTTTTTTTAAGTATACTGTTTTAGGGTTTAATCTATACTGTTTTGTCAAAAAAGCTACGGTTTTATTTTATTTATTTTTTTTTTTTTTTGTGATATAGAGTATTAAAAAGAGTGTTTATAAGATGTAGAATTATTTTATTAAAATTTTTTGAGAATTCAAAACAGTAGACTTAAAAAAAACCGTATTTTTTTCCCAAAACTGTAGCTAAAACGAGAGGAAACCGTAGGTTTTAAAAAACCTACGGTTTTGTATCTTAGAAATGAAAAAATATATATATACAAAACACGAAACAGTAGACGAATTGGCGAAACAGTAGATGAATTACCACAAAAGAGTAGTCAACGTCCGTTGACCGTAGTCAACTGCTGTTGACCGTAGTCAACTATAGGTTGACTACTCTTTTGTGGGCTATTTTTGGGTAAGAGTTTTTTTTTGCTATTATTTGATAAGTAATTAGCAATTATGGTTAGATTTGTATTTTCCCCTTGAAAAAAATATTAACACAAAATATGATGTTTAACGTGCGATTTCTTATAGAAAAAACCATTATAGTTGAATACCCAAAAAAAAAACCACATATAACATATTTTAAAGCATTTATAATATGTTTACTTAAAAACATTACACTTGCAAAATTTGAAGAAGGTTGTTAAAGATTATAAGTATAATATTTCTTGGAATTACACCTAAAAACATTATTTTGAAAGGACAAAACTGCACAAATGGTCTCTGTGGTTTGCTGAAAATTGCCACTTTAGTCCAAAAAGTTTTGGACTAGCACCATAGGTCTAAAGTTTTCATTTTGTTGCGAGTATGGTCCAACTTCTATTGATCTTTTTTATAATGACAATTTTGCCCTTACCTTTTTCTTTTTCAGTTTATTTATTTCTTTCCAGCTAACCACAGAAATTAAAAAAGACAAAACCCTCTCTCTCTCAAAAATTAAAAAGAAATTAAAAAGGACAAAACCCTCTCTCCCTCTCTCTCTCTCTCTCTCTCTCAATTCGTCTTCCACCTCCGCAACCAAAAGAAATTTGGCCTCCAATCAGAAATATGTTCCTCTCATCCCTCCTCTCGCCGGAAACCCCTACACATAAAAATCTAGTAACATTCAGCGCCTCCCCACTCCACCACCATCACCATCGTTTATACAGCCGGAGATAGAGGGGAATCTACATCTGATTCAACTCAGCGATGACAAATCCACCTGCATCCATTTTTTGTTCTTTGGAATCAAAGAACACAACAGTTTCATCTTCTGAAAGATTAGTTTCATCATCGGAAAGATTGAACACTAGAATCCATCATCGTTTTTGAACCCTAATGTCTCCTGCCTTATGAAATTTCAGAAGAATGATGTCGGAATTCTCCCACATGGAGGCAGGAGGAGAAACCCCAAAATATGGAAAAAATCACAATTATCTTTATCTTCAAGGTTAGAAATAATAGTCGGATTTTTGATTTGAGGATGAAAGGTTCGATCAAGATCCCCTCCTCCACCCACTAGAAATTACAACCACCATTAGACAAGCATAACACCAGTGCGATAAATGCAGTAGATAAACGAGAAACTTGACGCGTCTGAAACCCTAGGTCGCCGCCCTGCGTCTTCTCCGTTACCCAGGTTTGTTCACCAAGCTTTAACGAGGGAGGGAGGAAGGGGGGGGGGGAGCCCTTCGTCTTCGGATAAGGATTTTCCTGCCGGAGGTTGGTGGTGGGGCTGAAGGTAGGGTTGAAGGCGGTTGTGGTTGACGGTGGTGGCGATGACGATCCTTCTTCTTTTAGGTGTTTCATCGAGCACCTGGATCTTGGTCTGACCTCGTCTCCTCCGGCTCCAGTGACTGCTCTGGTGGGCGAGAGATTGAAGGTGGGTTCCAAGTTCAAGAGCATTGTGCTGGAATATTTTTCACACGATAAACACATACTCAAATACATAAGAGAGAGAGAGAGAGAGAGGAGAGAGAGAGAGAGATTTTTATTTTATTTTTTAAATCTGAAAATCAGAAAAATAAATAAGAGAGAGAGAGAGAGAGATTTATTTCATTTTTATTTTTATTTTTTATTTTTTTAAATCAGAAAATCAGAAAAAAAAAATAAGAAAAAGAAAATCATATTAACAGGGGTAAATTCGTCATTTTGAAAAAAATAAAAACAGATTGGACCAAACAAGCAACAAAATGAAAACTTTGGACCTCTGGTGCTAGTCCAAACTTTTTTGGACCAAAGTGGCAATTTTGAGCAAACCACAGGGACCATTTGTGCAGTTTAGTCTTTTGAAAGATAAAATATGATAATGTTACAATATTATTCATATAAAGGACTGAAATTGTAAATATTAAAATTTTAGAAATGCGTAGTGACAATATAGAAACTAAAAGGAGTACTTTGCAAACGTTTGTCTTCCCCTAAGCCTTCAAAATCGAATCCACTGCTAAAATACTAACATATAAGCACAACGTACAATCTTTACCATAACCTCGGTGAGTGCGAATACGAGTCAGGACATGGTATCATCTCTCCGGTGGTCTGGCCCATAGATATATATAACTGCGCGTTCTCTCGAGGAATCAAGGTTTCGTCTATACTACAAGCGCTTCCTCTTCGAATGCAACACAATTTTCAATTCCATTGAAAGAACTTTGCTGCTAATAAGGTAAAAATATCTCTCTTTGTTTTTAAGTTCTAATTGTTTCGTATCGCATGCCAAGTGTTCGATGATTTGCCCAAATGAAAATTTAGATGTTTATCGTGTGGCAAAATGCTACCATGTGTTTTTAATTGCTAAAGTCGAGTGCTTGTTAGTTCTTATGTGTTTGCTGTTAAACATGTTTACATCCTCAAAAAGATCCATGGTTTTGCTTTATAAGTTTAGGTCTGTAACACATTTTGCTGTAAAACTGTTTCAATTTTATTTCATATTACATACAAAAAGCACTAATCTGAATTCTGATTGCAAACTTACTACTTCTCAGACGAAAAATTAAAAGATTTCTGATTATCTGGCAAGTTCTAGACCACCATGATTATACTATAATCTCAGAGCTTGTTTCTTTTTGTTTTCTGGTTAAGTGCTGAATGAATAAAAGCTTCTACGTAGAAATAACGTCTGGAGTAAGTGTATTCCCTATTTTGGTAAAGAAATAGTAAAGTTTGTTACTTTGTAACACAATCTGTCCTTTTATGTTTGACACTAATATTTTTCATTTTTTGCTACAGATTCTCCTTGCAACACTAGAAATGGCCTGCATTTCACATAATCTTGGAGCTTCAATGAAGTTAGGTCATCTTCCTGTATCAAATCAGAGACAGTTTCCAAACAAAATTTCCCAACTCTTCTTCCTACAAACCAACAATTTGAAATCATCAAAAACTTTTCATTCCCAAAACAATTCCTACTGTTTAAACCGCTTCAAATCCTACACCACCATTTTCAACAGCATTTCTTCAGATCATCTACAAGAAAGAGTGACGGTATTGGTGATTGGTGGTGGAGGAAGAGAACACTCACTTTGTTACGCCTTGAAACGCTCTCAATCCTGTGATGCTGTCTTCTGTGCCCCTGGAAATGCTGGCATTTCAAACTCAGGGGATGCCACGTGTATTGAAGATCTTGATATCTTCGATAGTGAAGCTGTGATAGCTTTTTGTAGAAAGTGGGGTGTTGGACTTGTGGTGGTGGGTCCCGAAGCTCCTTTAGTTGCAGGTCTTACAAATGACCTTCTTAAAGCTGGCATACACGCTTTTGGCCCTTCATCAGAAGCCGCTGCTTTGGAAGGTTCCAAGAATTTCATGAAGACTTTATGTGATAAATACGGAATTCCAACTGCCAAGGTTTGTACCTTTTCATTCTTTTCTTAGGGTTTAGGGTTTGGTGTTTCAAAGTTCAGGATTTAGGGTTTAGGCAAAGTTCAGGGTTTTAGGGTTTCACAATTTAGGGTTATTTAGGGGCCTTGAACCTTGAACCCTGAACCTGTTTGGTTTCCATAGCAAATAAACCATTTTAGAATTATCTAATCATTGTTTATTGATGATATTGCAGTATGCAACATTTAAGGACCCATTAGCTGCAAAAACATACATAAAAGAACAAGGTGCTCCAATTGTGGTGAAAGCAGATGGGCTAGCAGCAGGGAAAGGAGTGATTGTAGCCATGACACTACACGAAGCATTCCAAGCAGTAGACTCAATTCTTGTCTCAGGGTCATTTGGGGACGCGGGTTCTTCCATAATTGTGGAAGAGTTTCTAGAAGGTGAAGAAGCCTCTTTTTTTGCTATTGTTGATGGTGAGAATGCCTTACCTTTAGAATCCGCCCAAGATCATAAACGGGTTGGTGATGCGGACACGGGTCCAAACACAGGTGGCATGGGCGCATATTGTCCTGCACCCGTTTTGACTCAAGAACTTCAATCTTTGGTTATGGAGTCCATCATTCTTCCTACTGTTAAAGGGATGTCAAAAGAGGGGTGTAAGTTTGTTGGGGTTCTTTATGCTGGACTCATGATTGAAAAAAAATCCGGATTACCGAAATTAATCGAGTATAATGTCCGATTTGGAGATCCTGAATGCCAGGTCAGATTCAGACTGTTTGATACTACACTGATATTCACCTGACTCAATCAACAACTATCAGACTGTTTCTTGAATATAAACTTTTTTTTTATTTACATGTTGGCAGGTGTTGATGGTTCGTTTGGAGTCGGATTTAGCACAAGTTTTGCTGGCAGCCTGTAAAGGGGAACTAAACTCGGTGAGTTTGGAGTGGGCCCACGGGTCAGCCATGGTGGTGGTGATGGCCAGCAATGGATACCCTGGAAGCTATGTAAAGGGAACCAAGATTCGGAATCTTGAAGATGCTGAGGTGGCGGCTCCTGGCGTTAAGATATTTCATGCGGGGACAGCTGTCGATGCGGAGGGGGATTACGTGGCGACAGGTGGCAGGGTTTTGGGTGTGACAGCAAAAGGGAAAGATCTTGAAGAAGCAAGAGAGAGAGCTTATCGAGCTGTTGAAGAGATTAAATGGGAAGGAGGGTTTTATAGGAAAGATATTGGGTGGAGAGCACTTCCTTTGAAACAATTTTCCTCAAAATAAGTTTTGAAAGTATTTTTTATGGATGATTTGTTTCAACATTCCTTCCTGAAACCCTTTGAATTTAATTCCTATGATTTTTCTCGTTAGTGAAGTTACACAAGTAGAAGGTTAATCTATTATTAAATTTGAAATATATATTATTTAAATTTTGTGGTATGTATGTATGTATTATTCAATCTCTTCAACAAAATTACAAACCAAACAGAAAAATACAAATAAGTTGGAAATGGATCCTATCCCATTTCTAGCACTCCTCCCTCAATATTGCCTGGATTCTGGAACAAGCTAAAAAATAAATACGCTTGCAAAAAACTGATTTTGATACAAAATTTTGTGTAAAATTGTTGTTTCCATCCATTATTTCTTAAGTTTGTTCATACAAAATTTTGGAGGTGTAACCTCAAGACCAGTTTTCACCCCTTGGATGTAACAATTTTCTTTTTTCTAAAAATTAAAAGTAGAAAAATACCGTTTTGAACCTCTGGTGGTGGTGTGTTTAGTTATGGAAAATGATTTGTTTCCGGAATTTTTTTCTAGAAAAATGAATTTTCGAAAAACATTTAGTTCAAAATTTTTCTAAATAATTTGCAAAAAATGAAAAAGTTATTGTTTTCCAAAATTACAAAAAACTTGAAAAACTAATAACTACCTAGTTTTTTCAATTCAAAAAGTTTCTAAAATACACAATCTAACACCTACACCGTACCCACGCCTACCCACCTTAAACCCAACCACACCCAACACACCCACACATGACACATATACTCCTACGCATCCTTACCCAACCCCGTTACAAATCCCTAGACAACTTTTGCTGTTGTTTTTTACTATTAAAAATAATATCAAGTAAAATACATTTGACTAATCTTGTTTTTCGTTATAAGGATAAACAATCATATAACGTAGTTATATACTAATGTATGTAAAACTAAAACACACAATATTTTTAGTTGTTTATAAAACCGCATCCAAAACGTCTGCACCGCACCGCATAATATAGTTTAGAAGTTTTGTAGTGCGGTTTCTGAAAACCTCAAACTGCACATGCGTTGTGTTTTGCAGTTTAACTGTAAACCGCATCGTGCACACCTTTACCAATCACCATGACGGAAAAACAAAGCAGACCTAAAATGGGCTTTTCAAACGGTTTGGACTTTGGTCAGGTTTAGGTTTTTTATTTTTTATTTTACTTTGTTACTTTTCTTATTTCATGAATAAAGTACTGTTCGAAATATTCTAGGGGTTATCAAACTCTAAAGTGTCATACGACGAAATAACCATTTTTGGGAGACTAATATAAAATAACTATGTATTTACAATTTTTTTTGTTTTGTAGAATTTCTTTATGAATGGACATTACTAAGAAAAACATTTCATTTGCTAATTATTTAGCAAATTAACACGTATTTCTACAAAATATGAGTAACTTTCCTGGAAAATATAAATAAGTTTGCCAAAGAGTGATTTTTCGATATAAATTTATTTGGAAATCAATGACTTCGAAAAAAAATAATCAGAAAAATATAAATTAAAAAAGTGATGTCAAAACATTTAAGCATGATTTGGATTATATTTCAAATTGAAATAAATATAAATGCAAAAGGTGATTATTATTATATATATATAAGTTGTGGAAGAAAGGAATAGTAAACTTGGGATACTTTGTCCAAGTTTGGTCCCTTGATTTACATATCCGGTCACTGTATTTCTTTAATTAATTTATTCATGTGCTTTTGTTTGTGTTCCATTCAACTTCCCATTTTTTTGGCAGAATTGGTCCCTGTATTATTATTGGAAGTTAGGAATACTAAATTTGGATGTTTTTTGGCAACTTTGGTCATTATTCTTTACCCATTTTGACACTTTTGGTCCTTGCAATCAATATTTTTATACTTTTTTGGAACCTTTTAATATTTAAAGTTTGGCCACAAAACTTTAACGGTTTGACAACTTTGATCCCTTTTCTAAAAAGTTGCTAATTCCTACCCCTTTAATTCTTTAGCCATTTTCACACTTCTGGTCCTTGCAGTCAAAACTTTTACATTTTTTGTCCGGGGCAAAGCCCGGACTTTTCATCCTTGCACTTTCTATGTCTGTCATATTTATCAATTCAGAAACAACATTGAAAGCTTCTGGCCCCCGCGTAGCGGGATAACCTTTCTAGTGCAAAATTATGGATAATGTTTTTGTTATGGTCATAAAAATAATTTACAAAAGTAAATGGAATATGCAAATATCACTTTGCGAAATAAATGATTATTTACTGATCGTTTTGAAAAAAAATGGTAATTTCGTGGTATAAGGCCCCATATTGTACCATGTTGATGATTATCTAGAAATATACGGTAGATCATAAAACATTAACAATATTTTTAATTTATGAGGTTTTGAATCTACATGTTGGATACAAAGTGAGAAATAAATCTATTGAGAATGCTATATATATTAATTAATCTTGTGGATGTGATCAAATGATTAGTTAATACGTGAAGGGGCAAAAACGTAATAATAGATTAATCTTAATTACTTTTGATTATTATATATATATTTTTCATGTTTCTTTAGTCATAATTCTTGAATTGGGAAATGTTTATTGATATTCTTTGAAAAAAATAAACGGTTGAAAAAAAGTTTACAACAACGCTAATGCCAAAATATTTGATTTATGACTTCACCAAAACTAATATATGTAACATCGACTTTTCTGGTTTGTTAATTCCGGTAGGCATTTGACATAATTAAAATTGATGATTCCATTCCATCACGTATTCACATGTTTGCTTCATATTTGATGGATTTCGTTGTTCCTATAGCCTACAGGTAGTAGAAGGAATTCAATTCCATTTTTACCTTTTTAGCCGATCAAAACGTGTCAAATTCCAATTATCTCATATTTGAATTCTTTTAACAAATTATATTCTTTCCAAAAATTGGTAATATTATATTAGTATTTTTTTTTCCAACAACAAGGACCACACATGATTTCGAACGAATTAAGTACAAAAATATCAATAAATTGTTGCCAATATATTCTATCTACATTTGTACGTGATTTCTAACAATAGTATTCACACCAAGGCTTAGACATATCTAACCATTTTTGTGTTCATAGATCTTGATTTCACAAATGTCCTAAGCTTGACGATCCCGACCTCATCCTACCAAGATTCTCAGAGGTAGAAGCCGTATGAGGGTGACGATTAAGCGGCAGTTTTGGAGGTTGGTGGGGATGGAAATGATGAGGCGGTGGCGGCGGTTGGTGGTGGAGGTGGTTCACCGGATTCTGATGGTTGCTTAGACCAAGATCACACAAGCTAGGGGAGCTATGGTTTCTGGGCAGTTCACTAAGTTTACCATGGTAAACAGTAACTTCAGGGTTAGTGGTGGAACAGGTGACGGTGGTCTCCGGTGGTGCTCTTGAGGAGGAGCAGGTGGTGGAGATGGTGACGGTTGTGTGGGTTGTGTAAACGGGGAGTGGCGGGTTGAAGGTGTTGTAGGTGTTGTATGTTGGTGATGGGTGGATGATGATGCCATTGATGGAATTTATGTAGCTTCGTTCAAAGGAGTTGTGATCCATGGATTGGATCTTGTTGGGGTTTGATGAGAAAAGGAAGGCTCGGAGTCTTGGTGATGAGAATTGATCACATTCTGCAATCATGTGGCGGATATCTTCATCGGATTTTACTGTTACCAAGACATCAAGATCTTCTGGGATGAACTGGTACTTGAGGATCATTCGATCACCATTGAACATGGTAGTAAGCTTCTTCATGAGTTCTACAATTTAAATTCAAAGTTAGACGTTAGATGAATAGGAAAGAATTACAGATCATCTGTTGATATTTTATGAAGAACCAAATGATGAACAAATTAATTTGTACTTTTTTCACAAACATACGAGTACGAGCGATTGATATGATAAACTGTTCTAACTGCAACAACGAAAAACTGAAACCCTAATTTGATCGTTAAAATGTAGAGTTTCTGTAATGTTAGGGTTCAAGAAAATAGTACCGGGGAACGTAATGTCGCGAGGAACGCAGATGAGGCGGGTTTCACCGCCGACGTACTTGATACGGCCGTCGGCGGGGCGAGGGAGGAACTTGCCGCCATGACTGCACATAAACTTCACCCGGTTTTTCGGAGTCTCCGGCGCCGATCCCGCTCTGCAACTCGATACTGATTCGACATTAACGCCTGTGATCGACATTTTTGTATAATTTCAAGTTATTAATGTGAAATCCACAAAAAAATGAGAGAGATTCGGAAGTGATGTTCTTGGATTTCGAAGTTCATGTAGTTGTTGTATGAATTTTGAACTCACGATTCATAAGTTCATAACTGTTCATATATACAAAATGGCCTCCGGTGAGTTGCTGGAATTAACTGTTTTTTTTTTGTGCGTCTTATTTTTTATTTTTTAAAATAAATAAAAATATTTAAAAAAAAAACAAAGGACACGCCCAGTGGGACTCGAACCCACAATCGCCTGATTAGAAGTCAGACGCCTTATCCATTAGGCCATGGGCGCTTGTTGTTTCTTCTCCTCCAGTATATTTATATAAATTATCTTAACTCAATTCACAGATATATTAAGCTTTTTGCGTCTTGTTTTTGCAAAACAATTTTAATAGAGCCAAATGAAATTATTTCATTTAATAAAATTGGTACATATTAACAAGCTTATACGTTTACACAAGTGCAAAGTCAATGAGCCATAAGGCTGTGGGAGTGACTTTAGCAGGAGCTCAATACTTGCTTAGTCACCTCGGCAAACACCGACCCTTCGTTTCGGAAATGCGAGATCTCGAAATGCTGATGTCGAGTCTCTCAAATCCCTCACCCGTACTCTTTCTTATCATTTCTTCATCTTTTTTCCTTCTTGCTTGTTGTCTCTTGGCTGTGTGACAAATTCTGTCAGCAAAATGAGGTTGATGTAGAGAAGGTTGAGATGGAGTTCGATGGTGTCAGCACAACTCCTCTCAGACTAAAAAGATGTTCAAAGAATTGCAGTATCTATGTCTATATATCTTATAAAACAAACATTTTTCTTTAAACATTATGCATATTAAACTTTCAGGACTATTCAACTTATACAATTTAATTTGACTTTTGAAATTTCCCTTCAACAAGTGTAGTTAGCCTATAAACACTGACTTCTACAAAAACACATATCCTAAACCAAAAGAAAATCCTTCTATTGTCTGATTAATTGTTTTTTGCTGTGTGTTTGGATGTAAATCCAAGTCATAAGTTGTCAATATTGAAGTTCAATAATCTATAAAAAAAACACGATATTTTTATCTAATTTATTACTTGACTTTGAAAATGGACAGAGCCAAACTTTTTAATGTATATTTACCAAAACAATAGGTTTCTTTATTGTTTATTCACATATTGTTTTATTTATTTATTTTTTAATGATGAATAAAAGTAGCTCTTAAGTTTGAGAACTTGCTAGTATCTATTTTAAAAATTAACACATGTAATGTTTTATTAAGCATATAGGTACTAGCAATTATTTTGAAAGTCAAGGCTCTAGACCATCTATTTCTTATAAGTTTTTATTATTAGGGGTAAAATTGAATTGGTTAATGGAGCAATCAAGGGTGAGCATTTAACTTCAAGCTTTACGATTTCAACTCTACTTGAAATACGATATGTATAATCGTTGAACTGATTTATAAACATTATGAGATTGAATGAATATTTAGGTTGAATATTACCTCACGTTTTAAATTATATGCAAGTTTTTGCGACGACATTCATATTGAGATGTAGAAATTCACTTTAATGACCTGATGAGTTTATCGCCTTTTGAGGAAATTGAAAGTTTTTTATTATATATTCTAAGATGTTTTAATGAAATATTTGAATGTGTTGATGTTTTTTTAAAGATGTTGCAAGAAACTTTATATTTTATGATCGTTAATTGTTGTTGGTTTGTTGCATAAGTTGTATCTTTTGGTTTTTAATTCTATTGTTGTTTTCCATTCACATGTTTCATATTCTTGAAAGTGATCAATGCAACGATTTTCTTAAATCAACACTAACAAATAAAGAATTAAACACATGAGTTGCAATAAAACAATAATTGGGCTTTTATGAAGAAACACATAGCTCGAACAACCTACTTGCACAACTTAAACCTATAAAAAATTGTTAATAATTAATAATAGAAATGATAATAAATGTCGAAACTATAAAACAAACACCTGAGAAGAAATATTAATGTCAAGATTGTTAAAATGGGTATTTTTTTCAATTATTCACCAATGTTAGGTTTTTATTTTATAACAAATGTCATCTTAATGCATAATATTCATTTGAAAGTTACACGAACTCTTAAACTTTCGACTACTTTTTTTTGAACAAACAAATCTAATCTACTCCTAAGCTAACAACACCTATTCCACCTATGTTCACGATGAGACTTGAACCCTCGACCTCAAAGAGGGAGGGCACCACCTGATACCGCTGGGCTATAAGCCATTTGGTAACTTTCAACTACTTAACCACACATACTAAAGAGCTTCTAGCCCAGCGGCACCGGTGTTGCCCTCCCTCCTAGAGTTGAGGGTTCAAGTCTCATTGGAGACATAGGTGGTATTAGGAGTAGTGTAGATTTGCCGTTCTAAAAAAAAACTTAACCACACATAATCAGTAACTTAATTTAATCATTCACTTTAACCTCGTTAATTTGATTTTTAAATACATTAAAATCATTTATTAGTCTAAGTTAAAACTAACTCTTCAACTTTTAAACTAATATATACTTAATTTAATGGTTGAAATAAATATGGTTTTAAATAACCATAAATCAAAATAATCTTAAGACTGTTTTTCTAATAGTTATTCTTTTTTATATTTTTAAATCTAAAACCTAACCGTTTTTTTAACAACAAACTAATCTAATCTTATAAACTATTCCTAAGTCCATATCTATCTCTCCAAAGAGACTTGAACCCTCAACCTCAAGGAATATGACAGTACCTGATACCATTGAGTTAAAAGCTCTGTATACTTAATTAAACGTCAATGTGAGACTAGCCCACTTGATAGAGACTTTGTATTTTAAATTGGAGGTCTCGAGTAATCCGGACGGTGATCAATTTTACTAACTTGGTGATACTAACTTCTAACCACTAAAAAAAATCAAGATTGTAATTCGTCTAGTATGATCATAAGTTAACGAATTAATTTTTGTTTAAAAGGTTATTATTAATTTCAATTTGTGGTTTAATTGAAAGAAAAAATATGTTTAGTTAATTCAGATTAGTTTGAACTAAAATATGTTTTAATTGAAATATATTACTAATTTTTAATTCTTCTTGTTTGAATTAAAGCCAGGAAAAGTAGTTGAAAGAAACAAATTTGACTTTTGTAGCATTCTCTTTTGTTGTTTGAATCATTTCTTTTGTCATAGGTTCAAATAACGTTGTAAACAAGATAATTGACTATTGTTTACTTAATATTGTAATAACTGTTTTTAATTATTAATCCAAGTTATTGATCTATCAATTTTATGGTTCTAAATATCTAATACAATTGTAAAAAACTTATGTGCGTCATTTTATTCAATTTTGATTCCACCACTCATTTAGATAAAGACATGAAAACACTATGATTGTATAAAACTTTACAATTACAATGTATAATATTCATGGATGATCAATCAACTATTAATCATTCGAATTTACAAAATGAACATGGGAAGCAGAAATGAAATTAGCATACGGGTAACTGAAGCGTTACATTTAGCCCAAAAAAAAAAAACCACAAAAGTTTACAACTTATAATCACTACAGCATAGAATAAAAAACTGTATGATAACATAAAACTTTTATTGTGATTCATTTAAAACTTAGCTGGAATTCTCTTACAATAATAACAAGCTTTAATTAGTTTCATTGCATAAATAAAATGGCATGTCATGTATTTAAAACATGTAGTTTTAGATGGATTGGTGTTTAAAAGTAATTTTTAACATGCAAAGTTATTATTTATTAATTTGTTTGATCTCTGAAATCAAATTCGAAAAATGCGCTTACAGGCTTTTAGAACACTTCCCTTCTTGTTTGTAGATCCTTTTACCTGCGATTCTTCTTCATCTTCGCATTCGGATTGAAGATTCAAAGAATGATCATGGATCCTGCAATACTTTTCAGAAATAGATGAAGATCTTCTCATGGAGAAAGCCTTTTTCACTGTTGTTTGCAGGTTACTACTGATCTTTTTCTCTCGATTAAACCTGGTATCAGGAATAGAACTTGTTGCATTGGGGAAGCTCTTATCTTCTTCTTTTTGTTGCAGTTCATGATGATTGTTATAGTCGTCGTATTGGGAATTTGAACTTGTTGGGGGTTTGGATCTGGTGCTTGTGGGACTGTCGTCGATCAGCTGCATCTTTGAATACCCTTTCATTCTTCCTTTGTTGTTGTTGTTCTTTTCTCTTTCGGAGTGGTGAGTGGAGGGTATATGAAGAAGTAACTTTTCAAAACCAATTATTTAAATTTGTTAAAAATGACATAATCATGGTTTAGATGCTATGTGTTCGGTTTTTTATATTGATTGATTTGGTGTATATATCATATCTTTCGTATATATACGAGTAAGCAGTGGCGGATGTGGAACAAAATCTCAGGGGTAGCACACATAATTTTAGAGGTTGTATATCGGAAAATTTACATTATTTTTTCAAAGAATTTACTTTGTGTTGCAAATTTTTTTTGAGAGGTTACACCAGCCACCTAAAAACCCCCTAAATCCGCCCCTTTCAATAAATTATCATATTTTTCATTCATAATAATATTATAACCATAAAATATATTGACACGGTATTAAAACAAGTAAATTATTAATCTAACAAGGGTTAGCGGCTAAACTTATAGCTCATTTGCCTTTCATCTTGATATAATTGCATTATGCAACGTAATATACCGATTTGAATATTATATTGATCTAAATCCAAGTATAAATCAAGTAGCATGGATAACAGGAACATACTATGGTATCTACCTAAATCCACCAACCATCTGTATCAGCATCGTAACCATCATTTCTTCCAATTTAAATAAAAAACTCACAGTTTAATATAGTCAATTCACAATTTAAATAAAAAAATTCACAGCTTAATGCAGTTAATTCAAATGTTAAAACATAAAATTCACAGCTTATTATTACAATAAATTACAGTTTAATACAAAAAATATAAATTCAAAACCATATAAATTTGACGAATCGAGTTCCATTTTCAACGAACGAATTAAATTTAGAAGATCTTGGTTCTTTTGTTGGAATGAGAAAATCTTCAATTTGAACATTGTACCACCCACGATACGTGTTGTACAACTCTTATTCGTGTTCTTTAACGATCCAAGAATATCTTCATAAGAACCACCAACACTTTTGGGTTTTGACTTCAAATTCAATGCAACATTTGGAGATTGTTGCTTTGGAACCCAAATTTGCTTCACGAATTTTGGATTCACAACAATATTCGACGATTTTTGTGAATAAACCCGCTTGTTTTTCCATTTAATCTTATTCTTCTTTTTCTTTCTCATCTTTTTGCATCTTGAAGATTTGATTTCATGAACAAACCCACTTTCCACAACTTCAACTTTGTGAGTTTGAATAAAATCTTTTGGAGTTTGATACTTGTGATTTTCTTGGATCACCGGCTTCCGATAAGGAATCATTCCTTCAAACGAATCTGTAACGCCCCGTTTAAATAAATTTTGGATTAGTTTTGTGAAGATTTTAGAAGATGGGGGCTGTTTTAGTAAAATCCGGATTTAAATTGTAAAGGATTTACATGGATGAGGTTTAAATGGTAAATTATGGCCTAAATATGAAAGGAACTCGGATGGGAAGGGGCCTATCTTGCCATTATGGCAAACTTATGAATGGAGGCGGGTATTAAGGATCCGCAAACCCTAACCCTAGCCAACCATTTTTCAGCCGCCACACCGCTCCACCTTATGCCTCCCTCTTCGTCTCCGACACCTCCATTGCTGAGGTTGAAGTCGCCTAGCCACAACACCGCTGCCGACATAGAGTCCGTCGGAGACCGCTGCGGCTCCCGCCGCCAATGAAGTCAAGAATCGGGGTGGCTGCCGTTGCCACCGTCGGAGGTAGCGTAACCCCTCCTTCCTCTAACCGGTCGTCGGTCGTGCCTATCGGTGTCGCCGACTGATGACCGTGGCTGTTGGTGCTGCTATCCGCGAGGATGAGCTCTTCATCCAGTCGTCGGTATCACGTGACGAGTGCCATCCCGAGTTCGCTGCTGCTGCCATTTCCAGTCCTCGACAGCGCCGTCGGACCCCCTTCCCTCCTTCTTTCGTCTGTCGTTGCTTCACCGGTGCTCCCCAGATCCACCTGCCGCCAATCGTTGCCGCTCTTAACCACCATTGATGTCGCCGCCGCTGTGATGCCTAAATCTGCCGCACTAGCCACCGTGGAGGGTGGCTGTGGGTGCGTTTTTCATGATTCAACTTGGGATATGTGAGGTTATGGGTGATGCGATAAGCCAAGAAGTGTGTGTATAGTTTAGATTGGCCGGAAAAGCTGCTGCCACCACCGTAGGGTGGTGGCTGCCACCCTCTACCACCACCGACCACCACTAGAGTGGCTGTGTGTGTGTGTTAGTTAGTGTGTGCGTAATTTTGGATTAAAGCCTTGTAACTGTAATTGTAATTAGCAATAATAATAAAAATAATAGTAACCACCACCGTAAGGTGGTGGCCGCCGCCGTGTGCCGCCGTTGACCACCACTACCCGAGGTGGTAGTGGGTGGTGCCCTACTAGCAAAAACCCTAATGGGCTTAAAGATTAATTTTGGGCCTATTGGGCCATGTTTGAGTGGAAACCCTAATTAGGGTTTAGAAAACCCTAATTGTGAGTAATTGGGCCTTAGACTTATTGGACCCACTCTTGGGCCATTGAGATTGGATTGTGTATTAAGCCCAATCACTTCATAGCACTTATCTAGTAGAGTAAAGGACTTAATGGATTAAGTCCTTAATGGGTTAAGTATGAAACATTTAACCCTAATCGTCATTTTATGTGAAACCCTAGCCTTGAGTTGGGCCTTTCGATTGGGTTTCGGTAATTGGTTTATTAATGGACCATCCAAGAATAATCAAATGGACTAGAGTAATTAGTTGGGCTTTAGAGTAAGGCCCATATGAAGGATTGGGCCCAATTTTCATAGATGGGCCATAGTTAGGCCTCGGTCCATTATTAGACTTTTGGGCCTTTGGTTTGGGCCTTGGGCTGGAGTCAAGCTAAGATAGGGGTAAAGTAGTCTTTTACCCAAGTATGGACTTATGGTTATGAGTTGGAACCCAATTATTAATTGGGTGTTATTTTGGTGTTGACAGTTCGGGAATCTGTCATCCAGCAGCTGGGGTTAAGTCTGCGGGACTTCAGCAGTATGGGATTGTGTCTACGGGACTTCAGCAGTGCGAGGTGAGTTTCCTTTCAGTAGGAACGGGTCTACAACCACAATGCCGACCCGTTTAAGTTAGCAGTAGTTCCGGACTCCAGTCCGATGCAGTAGTTCAGTATGCTTGGTGTCTTTGTGATACAAGCATGGTATGTGTTATGTGTTTCAGACTATGGTCCGATGCAGCATGCAGTATATGTGTTCATATTATATGTCATGATCATGTTATGCTATGTTCAGTCAGTTCCAGACTTCGGTCTGATGCAGTAGTTCAGTGTGCTTGATGTCTTTGTGATTCAAGTATGACTTTGTGTTATGTGTTCCGGACTTCGGTCCGATGCAGTATGCAGTATCTGTGTTTATGCTAGTAGTTATGATTATGCTATGCTATGTTCAGTTAGTTCCGGACTTCGGTCCAATGCAGAGGGCAAGGCCCTGGTTAGTTCCGGACTTCGGTTCGATGCAGTTTCCGGACTTCGGTCCGATGCAGAGGGCAAGGTCCTGGTTAGTTCCGGACTTCGGTCCGATGCAGTTTCCGGACTTCGGTTCGATGCAGAGGGCAAGGCCCTGGTTAGTTCCGGACTTCGGTCCGATGCAGTGGGCGAGGCCCAATATGTGCTTTATATGTTATTGTATGGTATGTGGTAGTTGGGGAGACTCACTAAGCTTCGTGCTTACAGTTTTCAGTTTTGGTTTCAGGTACTCAGTTCTCAAAAGAGGAGCTCGGAAAGATTGCAGTGCACACACCATTTGTTTAGCCTGGGATGTTTCTACTCTGATATATTTGACAGTTGTTATGATATTTTGAGATACATTGTTTATGATTCTTATATGACGTTTGATGAATATGGTTTATTACTGATTTAAAACGAAATTTTCAGACTGTGTTTTTGGGATGTTTCAAGTTGGTATCAGAGCCTTGGTTTGAGGGATTCGGGCACACTTTTAGGTGTGTCTGAACTCAAACTAAGGAAGTGGTATAAAGTTTTCAAGAGAAAAACCATGTTTACACAAGAATTTTGAGAAAAGAAAACAATTTTAGAAAAAGTATAAAGAAAAGAGTTTTAGAAAAAGCGAAAAGAATTTTGAAAAGAGAAAAGGGTGTGGTGCATGCAATCAGCCGAGCTCAAGTAAGTACTCCCAAATTACCCATACAAGTTCATGTTATGATTATCAGTTTCAGTTTTAGTAGAACAACATGCTAGAATAGGACTAAGGATCTAGGAGGATGCCTTATGTGCCTGCTTTATGTGTTCCAGCTTTATGAGAATTGCATGCTAGTATTGAGTAGACAGTAGTAGGATAGCCTGTTTAGGTTATGCCTGATAAGTATGAGCTTAGCATTGTATGCTAGTACAGTTTCTTGTCACGAGGATAGAATTGCTCGAATAGTTTCCCGTGTCTGAATGCTGCTTGCTTTGTGCTTTGTGGGAATCTGAGTGATGGGAGTTTGCCGTTAGGTGAATACGTCACGTCACATGTGATCAGGGTTGAATAATCTCAGAGTGCTGGATTTGGCCCTATTGCGCAGCTCTTGTTTGAGTCTAACCGTTGTAGGGACGAGTCTGTTACTCGAAGGATTATCTGAGCCTCGTCACATGTGATGGTATTCAGGTGATGGCTAATTGGCATTACAAGGAGGCCTTCAGCAGCTGAGGACTGGTTTGGGTGAAGTTAGAGATTTCCCTAGGGCAAGCCTAGGATGAGAGTAGCAGAGATCAGTAGCAGTAGTAGTGACTTGGTGGAGTTGAGGCAGTACTTGAGGAAAGTACGGATAGATGTGGAAGGTAGTATGGGCCCGTACTACTGAAAGCAGAGGATCCGTACTCGAACCAAGGAAGGCTGAGATAAGACCAGGGAACTTGTAGTGTGTGAGATCCCTCGAGTTTGGATGAGTATTGTGATGTTAGTGATGGTATGTTGCCGAGTATAGTGACACTACGTGGTAGACTAGATGGTAGTTCTGGTGTCGACTAGGGATCAGACGCAGACTCTGGAGCCGGGCAGATTGATGATCAGATGAGGGAGTTCATTCCATCTGAGAATTACGCGCAGTATCATTGACCAGACTCCTGTGATCCTCAGTGTGATCAAGGAGGGCATTATAGAGATTTGTGATGAGAGGCCGAGTGCATTCTGCACTGAGATATCAGTCATGATAGAGACCCGTACGTTGATGTTTCGGGAATTCAGAGTTTGTGAGGCTTCAGATTGTCATGGGGGTTAGGAACCCCATTGTTAGTAGTAGATGGTTGGCAGATGTCACCAACACTTTTCGTACCAGACGTTGTCTTGAAAGGAGACAAGATCTTACTTACTTCCTGTCTCCTAAGGGATAGAGCACGAGATTGATAGGAAGAGGTTGGCAGTGAGTTGAGTGATGATGCGGTTGATGTTGTGTCATGGGATGACTTTTAGACCAGATTCTGGGCAGAGTGTGCCCAGGCGATTGAGGCGCAACAGTTGGCGAATGAGTCGTTAGATCTCCACCAGACGACTGAGACTGTGGCAGAGGTCACTGCCAAGTCTCGGAAAAGAGCTTATATGGTACCACAGTATGCAGTAGATGAGAAAATGAAGAAGGTAAGTTATCAGAACATACTGTAGAATGATAGCAGGGAGATCATGAGTATCTCGGGGTGCAAGACCCTGAATGATATGGCTTCTTGAGCTTGAGAACGAGATATGGACTTGGAGCACATTGGTAAGAGGGAATTAGATCAGTTGCTTATAATGAGGTGTCTCGGGAGAAGACCCTAGATTTTAGATCAGCTTTCGAGGGACCAGCAGGGTTAGATTCAGTACAGCACATGCGGGAAACTGCACGATGGAGTCTTTCGTTTTAAGGGTTTGAGTAAGTGTAGCCCTGAGTTATCCTCGGTTTGTGTCTGAATTATATTGTAAAGAAATGTCATATGCCAATTGCATACCGAGAATCATTAGTGAATAGTGATAGACCAATTCCCCAGATTACGGGATTGGGAAAGCACAACGTCATCTTGGTTTATTCCAAGACTGAGGAGCAGCACGAGAAGCACCTGAGGGAGGTGCTAGAGACTTTGAGGAGGGAGCGAATTTTCGCAAGGTTCTTCAATTGTGAGTTCTGGTTGCGCGGGGTGCAATTTCTTGGGCACCTTGTCAATCAGAAGGATATTCTAGTCGATCCGGCCCAGATAGAGGCCGTGATGCAGTGGGAGATTCCGAGGTCTCCAATTGAGATTCGGAGCTTCCTGGGTCTAGCGGGTTATTACCGGAGATTTATTCGGATTTTTAGAAGTTGTGTAATCTTTTGGATTAGCTGGTGTTGAAACCCTAGCAAGGATAAGCGTGAGTTCTAGCAGATTGGTCACTGGAGGGTAGGAAGAATTGAGAATTTTTCCAGTTTTGGGGGCTATAAGGCATTAGCTGAATCAAAGTGGGGGAGAATCATCTAAGGATTCAGAAGTAGGAGCAGTTTTGAAATTGGGATAAGTTTCGCATCTTTGTTTGGAAGGAAGACAGCTCAAGCGGCTGTATGGTTTGATGATAGTGTGAGATGAAAGTTTGGAAAAACTTGCCAATAAGGAGATCGCGTTCCCATAATGTTTGCTAGCAAGCCTTAGGGAATC